AGAACAAATGACACCGCGTTTTATGAAAACATCTCAGCAATATCATCCACGGCAGTTTTTATGAGATATTAAGGCCCTACAATTTTAGTCACGCCACTGTTCTATGTCTTCATGGCACTGTGCCAAGCAGCTGTATTTATGAGTATGACATGATAGCACATCAGCCATTCGGTGCACATCACTAAGATCAGAGAGAACTTGGATAAGGGTATTGTGTCATGAAACATCTAGCAATGACTAGCTTTTAACCTGCCATTTCACATAACATCATCTCTGGCTAACACTTGGCAGCTGTGATATTCATGCTCAGTAAATCAGACAAAGACTTTCGATGTGTGAGGAATATAGGAAATGTTAGACAGAGATTTTTATATTAAAAAAAAAAAATAGTATTAACCCTTGCAGTGGGGCTGCGCAGGGTCTCAGGTGGGCTGTGCGAGATCCCAGGAGGGCTGTGCGGGGTCTCACCAGAGGTCAGGAGGGCCTCGGGGGCAGGCAGCAGAAGTGCTGTAAGCAGCATTGTGTGGTTCCCCTTGAAAGAGGAGATGAGCGTCCGGCACTGTGAACAGGCAGTTCACAGGAAGGCTGTCGAGGTCTCCAGCCAGAGTGGGACCTCAGACAGCCGCTTCCGCGTAAAAATTTGAAGCGCAGGTATCGGCGTCTAGTATCGCGGCATTTTCACCAGTACGAGTACTGGTGAAAATGCCCATTATTAGTACTGATACTGGTACCCGTGCATCTCTAGTTATTGTTTTTCCCCAGAGTTCCGCTTTAAGTGAATTGGTTATTCACTATGTGTAAAAGTAAAACTGCTGGCTGGAACAGGTAGCACAATTTGCTTGTTAATTTTACCTTATCTAGAAAAGCCTCCTTTGCGCCCTGAGATTGCTTTCATTTTGCAAGGGAGGTCTTGACTTTGCAACTTGGGACATAAGCCCCAGCCACCCAGGACACCCGGCCCCACCTACCAGCTCCCCTGTCCCCTGCTGGTGAATAAAGCACCCTTACTGGAGGCACGATGCTGTTTGGCAGGTCTCTGTTAAAGAAGACAAATCCTTCAACAACATGAAAATATAATTGCTCATCTCCCAAAGAGTTTCCCTTCTCCTGCTTTGCCTGTAATGTAAAATAAACTAAAAAATGCTCAACCGCCTTGGATTTACTGATTTGGAGTTATCTCTTGTCTCTATAATACAAGCATGGAAAATACCCAATGGTTACCAAATCAACAGTGATGGTGAGCCCAGCGGATTTCCTATGAACGCTGGCAAATTACTCAATACATATCGAAGACTTTGTTTAGCCACAAAAGAACGGTGTAAGTTCCATGTAGCTCAAGGCAGAGCTTATACAGGGCTGAGGGCTCTCATGTGACATTGCTGGGCCAATTACAAAGAACCGGCGCTATCAGATGAGATGAAGGCAATGAGTTACATGCTCCTTCATACCCAGAAGTACAGTGGTACCTCGGTTCACAAACTTAATTTGTTCCACGATTCTGGTCGCGTACACGAATCAAATACTGTATGTGCTAAAAAGCACACAAAAAAGCTTCACAGCAAGCGTGCACAGGACTGTCTGCGGGGAAGATGGCAGCTGTCGTGTTCGTCACCTGATTTGGAGTTTGCGAACCTAAGCAACATTTTGCTGAACTTTCTGTTCACGGACCAAATTGTTTGTGAACAGAAGCGTTCGTGAACCGAGGTATTACTGTACAGGGGATTTTCTTTGCTTCCATTGACTGAATGCAGAAACAGGGGTGTGCAGGAAATACAAGTATGTGTTAGGAAGGAGTGGGCGGTAAAGTAAACATGGCTCTTTGCCCTTCATGGGCATAACACAGGTTTGCTTTCATTAATTTAACAACAAAAAAACAAAAAAAGAAGATGTATATGCACACCTATCTACCCACACACAATTTATATATACGCCTGTCTTCACACCTTTGCGTTAGGGTAATTTAGCGCATATTACCACAATGTTCAGTAACACACAATCTGCAGTGCTATTATCACTGCCTAGTAAACCACTGGGGATGGGAAAAATGTGCAGGCGGAAAATTCTGAGTTCACTGGCTGCATGCTCATTCCAGGAGGTCAGTGATAGTTTAGTAGTGAAGCAAGGATGATCATTCCCAATGCAGGTTTACTTTAAATCCTTGGCTACCTATAGCCAGTTCATGACAACCCTACTTTCTCAGTTTTAACAATTTACTGACTGGCTTCAAAAAGGTAAAGCAAAAAAGATGGGACATGTATTTCTTTTGACAATTATTATTTTATTGATCAGTGCCTGTTCAACATCTTCATTTGGTTCCCCCCAATGAGCCTGCATTTCCCAGCTCTCAGTAACTGTAATATAAATCATACAACTGCGTCGCCACCAATCTAGGACGGAAGTACCAACGCCTGAATTGTTACTATACGTGCAGCAACTTTGTTTCATTTCATTTATTTGCAATCTGCACATTTTTGAAGACTATTGTCATATATAAACACACATTCAAACATGTTCCTGACAAAGTATAGATGCACAAGCTTGTTTGCTTTTTACTAAGCTTAATAAGGCAAAGATCACTGTGCTATAGCCCACAACACCCAATCAGCAATCACCTTTAATCGTTCTACTTTACTGTAGTGTACACATACTCTTTGCTCTCTTCACTGGCCAAACACATTGGGTAGATTATAGCATGGCAAAGTATAAACATTACAGTATGCTCAGTCCAACCTGGAGTATTGCCCTCACAACTAAATGGACCTTTACCTAAAAACATGGAGTGTTATGTACAAAAGATGCAAACAAGAACATTTATAGTTGCCATAACAACCAATTTAAAGCCTTGTTTCTCTTTCAAGCCATGGACTGAAGAAATGACCGTTTAAAAAGCGCCTATAAACCCTAAGTGTCCATTCACACCAAAATCAAACCTAAAAACAGAAGTCAACAGAGGCCTGTCTACTTGCAATTTCATACCACGTTGACATCCGTTGCATTTATTTGTAATTCATTTGTTTTTTATTTTTATTTTAAACTTTTTTTTCTTACATTTGAAATAGCATCTTCTGAGTGGGCAAACTTCTCTGTATTTGATTTTTTACTTGCATTGCGTTTACATGCATTTTTCACACGTTGCGCTGAAAAAAAAAAAAAGTAGATCATCATGCTCTCCTTTTTTTTTTCAGCGCCCTGCAACACAACACATCGCAACACAGCAGTGTGAACTGGTCCCATACATTTTGTGGAATCCCTTCCATTAACATCCGTTCAAAACCAGATGCCAACAGATCTGGTGTGAATGTGGCATGAATCAGTTTTTCAGTATGTTTGGCATCATGTCTCACTATATACAGTTATTAAGGCAAATTAGTTTTTTCAGAATTTGATGCAAAGTTTCTTACCTGGAAATCCTACCAGTAGCAGCACTATGTATTGCAGGCTGATAACCCTAGGGCACTCTGCAATTAGCAGCAGCCTCTTGCGCTATTCAGTTGACTATGAGGGCTTGTTCACATGATCAGGAACATCTGGAGCAGATCTGCAGACGCGGTGCTATGCGTTTTTGACGCGTTCCAGTTGAAAAAAAAAATGGTTTTGTTTTTTTCGTGGGAGTGGGGCTGTCAGTATGGACAAAATGTGACATGCAGCATTTTCTCTGTACGGATCAGACTGCGCACATGAGAACTGTAGCCCATAAACACATAAGGATACATTTTGGGTGCAGGAGTGCACGGTTCTGGTCCGGACACAATCCGGACATCATGTGAACAGGCCCTTAGGCCTCATGCGGAGAGACAGTTGCAGTGTCTAATTGCACGCAGCCTGCACACGGCTGCATAACTGTGCAAGTTTTGGTGCACGCATGATTGCACAGGTGGCTGCATGCAATGACATGCTGTACTTGTGTCTCCCGGAAGCAGGTCTCTACATGGGCATGCACGCCATACAGATGTGCATGCCCATGTGAATAAACCTTTAGGCTTGTCTGGCAGATTGGCAGTCCAACAGCCAACTGAAGGAGCTGGCATGGCAGGCTGCTTCTAATTACCACACAGTGGCTTAGTGTAGTCAGCCTACAAAAGGAAGTGCTGCTATTGGCATGTCTAGGATGCCAAACATACTGAAAAATAGATTTTAGGTTTAAATATACCTCATGCTAATTTAAGTTGACATCAAGAACATTACTTGTTAGAATACTTTTCATACATACACTGTGAAAAGAGCAAAAGGTATGCAGGTATCAATCACAGCCAATCAGATTTCAGTACTTTGGCCTAAGTGGTTTTTGTATCATCTGGTCACTGGGTACTACACTTTGCACAATGCCCTATCAAAGGCCATAGCTGAGAGAACAAAGTGAATACGCAATATAGCACATTTTCTTCCCATTGTAGTGTATTTGTTTGTCTTAAATAAACTCACTCCATGCTGGAACTTTCTGAAATACAAGCTACTGGAGACTCAATGCATTTAACATTTTGTTAGTATACTCGGCACTCGCAAACAAATTAAAATATATAAATATTGCTTCATTTCCTCAATTATCAGCTGTAATTTAAATTAAATAATATTAAAACTATGGTAAACCTGCAACTTGCCCTGGGCTTAAAAGAGAATTGTCTATAAAGATAGCCATCAGATCTATATTGAATTTGATTCCAGAGATCAAATGACCAGTTCCTTACTATATATTGATCCAGCTATATATTAAAACTATTATATACATTTGAAAACATTCTGAAACTGAGCGACAAAACCAATACTTATAACTGTGTTCAGTATCTAAATCTTGACTTATTTACAAACCAGAGTCAGCCATTGATTAATCTAAAATTCATCAAACACAACATATTTCATCTAAAGTAATCATTAAGAATAATCATTTTCAGCTCTAAGTGACAAAGTTCTTATAAATGTAAATCAATCACAAATTAAAAGAAGTCTCTCATTGTAACCCATAGTAATTCTAGGATGAAAGTCTTGTTCCTTCAAGTTAGAAATCAGATTCACATGAACCGACCAAGTGGTGTATCTTCTGCTGCTTAGGATCAAGTGAACTGAATTGAGAAGTAATTCTCAGGTGCCACTATTGCAAACTAAGTCTTACACGTGGAGCACAGATGTGGTTTCTCAAAGTCGTTTTCCTGCGTGTAGCTAGATGGGTGCCAAACAAAGCAGATTTCTTATTCATGTATTATTCCTTGCAAAGACACGGTCACCTCTAAGTGTGAGATGCTGAAGTTGGTACTGCAAAACCTCCGTATCTGCCGACTCCTTGATATTCATCTTATCTAGGTTGAGGTAGTCCAAAGACTTTGAATGCATTCTCTTACCCTTAAGAAGGCAAAGTGGCAAAGGGCCATGGGCTGCCTTGTAAGACTCATATGGAATAACTTTATTGCACTTATCCCCTGAACTTGGCATTCGTCTTCTCCTCCGCCCGTTGATCGAAGGAATTTCATATGGCTGATAGTGTCGACCTTTAGCTTTGTATATCCGAGAGGAGCGAGAAAGTCCAGAGTCATGCTGCTTGGCACGCAACGTTGGTAGAGCTTCCCCAGGATTCTCTTCTGTGGTTGCACATTTGTGAGCTAGTTTTAGAAGCTCCTCTCCTGTTGTAAAGCCAACCAGGTAATTGGAATCCATGTGAAGTATCTGATAACCTGATACAGTCCTACGAATTGGGGAACAGGGTGTACTAGAGCAACGAGGTTTTTCAGATTCTACTTTTAATGGAGAATTCCGCTCTACTGTACTAGACAGGGGCACAGCAGAAATGCTAGTCCTGTTCTCTCCTTTAACATCCACTTCCATTGTGGAGGATCCTTAAGTTCCTAACAAATAAAAATCATAAAGACAAAAGTGTAAGGACAGGCATTATTAAAGTGAAACTTTTTAAAATCATTATAAATATTATTATAGTATAAAAATAAAATATCTGTGTATTTAAAAAAGGTATGAAAATAACCGGCCATTTCGAGAAGGAAAAACTATGCCAGAACATATCTGAAAGCACTTGTGTCGCAGAATAATATGGAGGTGCTAACCGTGGGTGCTGTTTCTATGGCTGCAACATGCTAAGTCTGTGCGATGGCAACACAAGATCCTGAAAACATATTTACACACATGCTAGCAACATCCTACTCTTTTCTTCTCCAAATATATATATATAAAGTTTAGATATTTTTTGTAACTGAATTT